TTAAAATTAAATTTTAAAGCTGGTTTTGAATTAAAATTCAAAATTTAGAAAAATGGAATAACTATAATGGGCCAAAATATAGGCCCAGATGACTAAAAGCAATTTTAGGCTTAAATGTATTTCAATTTGGTCCATATGACAAACTATTAAATATCGTCTTTATTTTTCTATGTAATCTTGTAAACACTATTTTTATGTTTAGGTTTATATTAATCGAAATCATTATATGTTCTATCATATAGATCTAATGTATAAAGTAATAGGGACATTTTATCGATTTTCTTTCGATATATATATATATATATATATAGCCAATTTTAAAGAGTGGGGATCAAACCTTGTATCCCAAGCATGCATTGAGAGTACCAAACCCACTAAACTACACTTTAGTTCTCTAGATTTTATTATATTCTTCCGGTCCACCGCTAATGTATTCATTTATTTTTTACATATAGATTTTAGTATATTAGTATTAATTAATATGTAATACAATTGAAATGTATAAAGACTATTATAGTCTTAATATTTATGCTATAATTTGATGACATTTGTGTAATATTATATAAAGCGTGATGATATTTTTATATTTGAGTGGAAGTACATTTACTAAAAGTAAAAACAGATATATTTGTGAAGAACGTACTAAAATGGTAAAATGGGTAAATTGATGATGGACGGAACAAGTATCATATTTAATTTATATTATAATCTACCTATTAATACTTTGTCCGTCCGTCCGTAAAATTTATTCGCATTCTTTTTAGTTCGTCCGATAAAATTATCATATTAGTAATTTTGACAAATGCAACAAATCAACATTTAATTATTATTCTCATTTCAACACTTATTTACAACAACGCTATTTCTACTACATTTTTTTCTTCATTTATTTTAATTTCTAACTAAATTTCTAAAAATATCCCCATCCCCAATTATCTTATTACTTTTATCAAATTTTTAATAATATATATTTTTTTTAATTTCCGTATCGGACTCAAATTGACTAATTATAATGGACGGATAGAGTATATTAAATTTTTGAATAAATATATAACACCACTTGTGAATTAGTAAAAATGCAAAAAACATCTCGTATTTTTATTTATTCCGTAAAATCTCCTTATGCCAAATTAATGTTTGCATAAAATATCATTTTCGTTCAAAGCTGATGTTCAGTTGAAAATACAAATCTAAATTATGTAAATTTTATATAAATAAAAAAGCTAAAATATCTTAAATAGTCATGTTTTAATAAAATAAATAAATAATTGATAATTCCTTTTATTTTTATAGTTTTTGAAAATACGAATAATATTTTGTCTAAAATAACTATAAAATGATTGATTAATCAATTATTTATTTTATTAGAAAATTATTTAAAATATTTACATCTTTTATTTATATAAAATTTGCATAATTAGGTTCATATTTATTAAACATCAATTTTGGTCAAACGAGGTGTTTCAAGCAAGCTTTGATTTACCAAACACAGGTTTTACGCAATAAACAAAGCAAAATGTGTGTTTTTCTTTATTTTTATTTTTTATTTTTTTTTATGTATTTTTACTAAAATAAAAAAGGATATTATATATTTTATTTTATATATATTTTTTTATTAAATTGGGCCGGGCCAGCCTGATTTGATTTTAATAGGCCTAAGTCCACCACAGTTTCTGAATCAGCTCATGCAATCTAGTCTAACATTATTTCAAACCTAAATTTAAATTCTGGTACGATATAATTACAGGATTAGCCAATAATTACTTCTACCACTGATCATCATTTTATATATTGTATTATATAATATATATTATATATATAAATATGTGTATATATATATACTAGTACCCGCAACTATATATTATATATATAAATATGTGTATATATATATACTAGTACTCGCAGCGCGCTACGCCGCGTGGGTGCGATATAATATAATGAGGTTGTATATGCAAAATCGAAGTGACGGTATGGAAGAAAAGACAGTGTAGTTGTATATTTGATGTGAATATACGTGATAGAAAAAAAAAGATAGAGTAATGAAAAATCTCGATCCATTTAAATATGTGCATCATTATGGTGAACCAATTATATACGATGAGAAAATAAAAATAATTATGTTGGAATGATAAAAGTTAATCCGAAAGAAGTCTGTGTATCTATAAAAAAAAAAGATTAATAATTGATATATTAAATCAATCTAAAGTAATTTCAGTCATGTAATTAATAATGTTAAATAATGGAAGGTATAACAAATGTAATTAATTACATTTGCTTAGACAGTAGGTCAGTCGCTTGAAAGGGCGCTCAGTTGGTCGCTTGGTTGGGCGACCGATGAATCGTCTAGACAAGATAAGGTCGGGCGAAGAAAGATGAGATGACAGACGGAGGTCGGACAAAAGGAGGTCGGACGAAGAAAGATGAGAGGGCAGATACGGAGGTCGGACAGGATAAGGTCGAGCGAAGAAAGATAAGATGGCAGACACGGAGGTCGGACAAAAGGAAGTCGGGGGAAGAGAAAGATGAGAGGGCAGACACGGAGGTCGGACGAAGAAAGATAATATGACAGACACGGAGGTCGGACAAAAAGAAGTCGGGGGAAGAGAGATGAGACAGCCGATACGGAGGTCGGTCAAAAGGAGGTCGGGCGAAGGAAGATAAGAGAACCGATACGGAGAAATATGTGCATCATTATTGTGAGCCAATTATATACGATGAGAAAATAAAAATAATTACGTTGGAATGATAAAAGTTAATCCGAAAGAAGTCTGTGTGTCTATAAAAAAAATCATTAATAATTGATACATTAAATCAATCTAAAGTAATTTCAGTCATGTAATTAATAATGTTAAATAATGGAAGGTATAACAAATGTAATTAATTACATTTGGTTAGACAATATATAAGGCACAGGTCGTCGATTCGGCATTGGATAAAAGAGGAAAAATGCCCTTTTTTTCTTCCGTTTCGTCCAAGCAGGATCCGAAGTATCGGCCTTATTAGGTAGAATGCGGCTAACTCTGTGCTAGCAGCCGCGGTAAGACAGACGTCAAGTTGTTGATATTATCCCTCCAGGGCCCGAACTTCTTGTTTAAGAGGGTGAATCCATCAAATTGGACTTTAGTGGATTCACTCTATTACATATGTGGATTCCTAATTTTTATTTCACATAATGAGAACTCAAGATCTTTGGTCTCTACCCGGACCCGGTGAAAAAAATAGGATCAACTACTCAATACAATGATCTATTGGAGCGTGTCCTTAGACATCGTGATGCAGGTCAGTCGCTTGAAAGGGCGGTCAGTTGGTCGCTTGGTTGGGCGACCGATGAATTGTCTGGACAAGATAAGGTCGGGCGAAAGAAAGATGAGATGACAGACACGGAGGTCGGACAAAAGAAGGTCGGTCGAAGAAAGATGAGAGGGTAGATACGCAGGTCGGACAAGATAAGGTCGGACGAAGAAAGATAAGATGGCAGACACGGAGGTCGGGCAAAAGGAAGTCGGGGGAAGAGAAAGATGAGAGGGCAGACACGGAGGTCGGACGAAGAAAGATAAGATGGCAGACACGGAGGTCGGACAAAAGGAAGTCGGGGGAAGAGAGATGAGACGGCCGATACGGAGGTCGGTCAAAAGGAGGTCGGGCGAAGGAAGATGAGAGAACCGATACGGAGGTCGGGCAAGAGGAAAGTGGGCTTCTAGGGGCCCATTTGAAAGAAAGGTCTATTAATTGGTTGCTTAATTAAGCGACTTGTTAATCGCCTGACCGATTGGCCGGTCACTTGGTCAAACAGTAGTTCAGTCGCTTGAAGGGACCGCATGGTGGTCGCTTGATTAGGCGACCAATGAATCGTCTGGACGAATGGTTGTTCGGCCGTTTTAAGGGACCGGATGGTGGTCGCTCGGTTGGGCGACCAATGAATCGTCTGGACGAATGGTTGTTCAGCCGATTAAAGGGACTGGATGGTGGTCGCTTGATTGGACGACCAATGAATTGTCTGGACGGATGATTGTTCAGCGGATTGAAGGGACTGGATGGTGGTCGCTTGATTGGGCGATCGATGAATCGTCTGGACGAATGGTTGTTCAGCCGTTTGAAGAGACTGAATGGTGGTCGCTCGAGTGGGCGACTGATTAGTTGTTTGGTCTAGCGACTAGTTAGTATCTGAATTGGTCGGCTGGTCAATCGTTGTGTTATTCGGTAAGTCCATTTAAGGAGGTAAGGTGCCCAGAGGAGGTCGGTTGAGCCAGTTGGGTTCTGTAACTGGTGGGGGCGGTTGGTGAAACAGTTAAAACACTTGTCAATTGAGGAGAAATTAATAGGCGGTTGAAAGAAATTTGGACAAAGGGCAAGATGAATTAGTGGACGGTTGAAAGGAAATTTGGATAAAGGGCAAAATAGGTAATTCAGGTGTCAAAACCCTACCATCGACATATATTAGTAATAATATAAGTGTGTTGTGAGTGCATTAGTGCAGGAGTATAAATATATATAATATACAATACTAATAATTAATGTAAGGGAGAGATGAACATTGGATAAGAGAGCGAATGACACGGGTTGTAATTCATTTCATTGTTTATACAACAATGCCTCCACATTTTACTTACGCGTACATTACATAAATGAATTTGCAGTAGCTACTTGTACAACAAGTTCATATTTGATTTTTTTCAAGTCAGGTTCTTATTGGATTTTGGAATCATACTTATTTTTGCTAACTCTAGAACAACAAAAAGAAAATATTGAAATTAGACTAATAGATAAATGATTAAATTTTTTTTCTCAAATTGTAGTGGCTCCATTAAAAAAAAAAAAAAAAAAGGTATAAAAAGGTAGTTTGAAACAATCTATTTGTTAAATCAATGTTGCTTTCATATGCCTGAAAATAATACAACGAGATTTTCTTCTTTTTTTAAAAAAAGGAAAAATAGAGAGCACAGCAATGGCATTCCCTTGTAGATTGAATTCCAAACTCAATAAACTAAAGCAATTTGTTTTTAGTGATGAACAACATTGACGTCGTACTGAAGAACTGCATCGCCGGTGACGGGATCGAAGCTTGCAGTGGTGACGCTAACAAACCCCCGGCCGTATCTGAACTTCCCCGTCCCGCCGACGATCGACATCTCCCTCGACTTCTCCGTCACCGTATTCCTCGAGAACACGTTGACAGTGCTGCCGTTGAATTCTCCCTCCTTAAAACGGAGGCTCAGATACAGAACCAGAGTGAACTCCTTCTTCTCCGGCAGGCTCGACGACAGATACATCCCCTTGGCATCCCCCACCATTTTCGATTTCTTCAGATCGGGACCGTCCGTCAGAGGATCGTCCACCGCGAACAGGCTCCCGAACGGCGTCGGACCTTCCTCCTTTCCGGTGTTGTTCGGCCGAGCAATCTCGACGGCGGTCGGCCGACTTCCCATTTTGGTGCTTAGGGTGTCGTGAATGTAGACGCGGATTTTGGTCATCTTCTCCTTGACGGCGACGGGGGCGTACTCCTCCGTGCTGTAGAATGACGTCGCCGGAACTGCGTGTATACTCAACGCCATGATTACCCACGCCGCCGTAGTTAATTTCTCCATTTTCTAGTTCTAGGGTTTTCAGAGAATGATGATGATTTGCTGAATATATATATATATATATATATATACTAGAATGAAATTTGGGGATTAATTTTTATATAGCTAGCTGGATAATCTTCTAGGGAAATATTTTTAATTAAGAATCTTTGTAATTAAATTTGTTTTCTAATTTATCTTATTCGATTTTAATGGAAAGATTTTTAGGCTTCTTGTTACAATCTCTATCCTAAAAAAGAAATTACTCACTTTTTTTTTTTTTTTAAATAATAATAAAAGTACTTACTAAAACAGCATTAAAATTTCTAAAAGTAGTTTTCAAATCTTAATAACCAAAATATAAAATTTTAAATTTAAAAAATGCATTCAAAGAGTTTATATACACGAAATTATCTTTATTAAAATAATAATAATAATTATCATTATTTTTTATAAGTTTGGAAAGAGGCAGGGCAGTTTTTAAAAGCCCCGGGCCAAAAAACAAAAAAAAAAAAAAAAAGGGTCTGGTTAAAATTTTTTATACTACTTAATACAAAATTAATATATTTATTTTATTATAATTTTTTTGAATTTATTTGATTATATTGTCAATAAAGTGTTATGTTCTTTTATAAAATATCACATTGAAATATATCTAAATACAACATTCAAATTTAAACACAAACAAAAAGAATTTAATATAAATTTTCATATTATATATATAATTATATTTATATATGTATGTTTTTTCTTTTTTTAAGGAATGAGTCCCTGAAGGGCCCAAACATTTGGGCTTGGGCGTGGCCCCGGTAGCCATGGCCAGGGCCGGCCTTGGGAAGAGGCTAGGCTACAAATTATTATGCTAAATTAAATTAGGATTAAACTTATTTGTAAATATGTTTACATGTGAGGTTTCAGTTTTGGGTTTTGATTTTAAATAGTAAAATTTTGAAGTGAAATATTTGTTTGATGTGATATAAATATGAGTTGATGTGATATTTTGAATGTAAAATTAGATTTTAGTGTAATAGAATAAATAAAAATTGATTGTTTGATTTGATATTTTTTTAGGAAAAAAAAATTGAAATAGTAAAATCAGATCACAAGTAAACACACATAGTTGATAAAATATACGAAAAAATTGTACTTAAGCCTCTAAAAATAAGTCCAAAATTTTTCAAATCATACGTAACCCAACAAGCTAATGAACCAGACCGTGCTTAGTTCAGACCGATTTAATAATATTAATATTTAATATTAATATATATATATTAACTAGATTGGACTATGGCTTGATGATAAAGTTTCTAAGTTAGTTATGTAGATATGATTTTATGTTTAATTCCCATCTATTCTATTAGAATAAATTTTTATTAAATAAATTTAAAATTTTAAAAAAAATGAAAAAATAATTTAAAAAAATAAACATCACAGTTTCAAACCAAACCAGATTGTGCTCGGGCCGAGTAGTAAAGGCCTGACCTGAAATTGGGCCTTCCTGTTTGGTCTGACAAAAAAAAAAAAAAAAAAAAAAAAAAAAAAAAACACCAAACAAGAACAAATTAACATCCCTACAAAATAGGGTGGGATTAGGGGCTGATAGTCCACCCCACCCCTATGCTGATTAATTAATAACTATTAAATTATAAAAATTAATCTAATAACTTGTATTAAGTTAGGGGTATAAGAGTAATTTTATTTATTCATCTAATTAATCTAAGTGACTTTGTCTTTCTTTTATCTTTTCTCATTTCTTTCTCGCATGCGATTATATTTCAACAATATTTTATTTTCTTCAATTTACCATTTACGTGCATAGGGAACATAATATCAATAATAGTATTTGAATTGACTTTCCTTGATTTGCAGGGTATTAGGTTTGGTCGGGGTTTACCAGTGCACACTTTCGGGTAATGGCTGCGGATTTCCACATCATAAAATAAAAAAATAAAAAATAGTATTTAAATTGGTACCAAACGGAGGCTAACCTAATTAATACTAACTCCGTCCCATAAGTAAGTATCTAATTGTTTTTTTACGTAGTTTTAGAAATATTAGTATTATATTGGGATATAGTAGAAATAAAATAGAAATGACTAAAATAACCTTATTAGTATGCGTGATATAAAAGTAATGATATTTTTGTAATATATTGTAAATTGTAAGAGTATTTGTAATATTATACAATTACTTAAAAAAAATAAAAATTTATACTTTGTTATTTGTTATGAGACAGACTAAAATGAAATATTATTGCAGAGTAATTGCTGATTATTGTATATAGATTTGATATGATTGGGGTTTTGTACGTTTTTCTTTTTTTTTTTTTTTTAAATTCAAATTAATACTATTTATTTTATATAAATTCAATAAAAATATGTATTTTTTTATTAATAAAACATAATATCAAAATACTATTTAAACAAAAATTAAAAATAATTAACAATCTATTTTAAATAAATTTCAAATCACAGCAAAGAAATTGTTATTTAACAATATTTATTAATAATATTTTTTTAATATAATTTATATAAAATAGACTTTTTATGTTTTATAAAATATTACATGATATTCCCTTTACCAAACGAAAGTAATCCATTTAGATTTTTGTAGTATACTAAAAAAATAATATTTTATTAGTTAGTAAAATTGTGTAATATAATTTTGATATTTTTGTCTTTTTTTCATATATGTTATTTATAAAGATATGTTTGTATATTATATATTTTGATACTAGTATGTGGTTATTTTTACTTATAGTAAGAGAAAGATACTACATTGTCCCATAAAGGAACCGTAGGGTCATAGATTCAAATCTACGCCTCAGGTCAACTGTTACATATGATTTGACTTGTCTGTTAGACCTAGTTTGTAGGTGTTAGATTCGATCAGAATTTCTCCGGTGCGCGAATAGCGGCTGCTGGTTCCCACGTTATTAAACCAAAATAATATATATATATATATATATACACACATGGATACAATTGATAAAAATAGTTCTTTTAATTTGAATAAAAAAAATTAATTTTCTACTATTTAACTTTTTTTTTTTTTTTTTCTAAAATTCCAAGAAAGAAAATGCTTATATCCATACGAAATCTCCCACCCATCCTCTTATCAACGTGCCGCCATTCACTCCGTCATTTCAAATAATAATACTTCCTCATTCCCACGTATACTACGTCCAAGTTGTCGTTTCTGTCCATTTTCTATTTCGTATCACTTTTATTTTTCGGAAAATGATTACACACTTTAATCTCATTTTAAAATTTTTAATTTATTTATTTTTAAATTTTAATTAAACTAATTAGTTATCTTAATCTTAATTTATAATTATTTGTATTATAAAATAATTATTTTCACTGATATATTTTTAATTATCTATTAATTACACTCCTTCTAAAATACCGTGTCTACATAGTAGCAGACGCGGGACGGAGAGAGTAATATATAATAATACAGTAATAATAAGATCCACATTCAACATCTGAATGACAGTGCTATGGATTTGACATTTAGCTCAGCCTGATTAATTAATTGTTAATAATGAAGTTGATCCCCAATGATCATCGAAATAATAATAATAATAATAATAAGAACAATTAAAAATAAAAAAAAATAAAGCAGCAGCCTCCATTTTCCAGACTAAACAAATACCTATTTGGTGTTACTTGTCCATCACACCAAAACCAAACCCAAAACCGTGTCGACCAAAATCATATCTTCAACACTGTCAGAATTTATTTATTCATTTATTCATCATCAACAACAACACAAATCCTTATCCCATCCTTCAAATGGCACGCCATGACATATAACACCAACAAATTAATTATCAATTCAAATCTCCTGACCATTTCAATTCAAACTCTCACATTTATAATGTCTTAATCCATAAATAAATAAACAAGTCTTACAAACATGGCCCCAATTTTGAGTCAACATATAGAAACCCTGCAAGAAATATGGAAACTTCCATTGAGCTATGCATACTTTTCATTCCTTTTGACCCTTGATCAAGTCTTTCAAAACCCCCTCTCTCTCTCTCTCTCTCTATATATATATATATATATGTGCCATTTTCTCATATTTGATCGATATATACAATTATTGGGAAATTAATCAAGAGCTTAATTTGATCCATGTTCATTTGTGGGAGTTCAAGTTTTCGCCATGAAGAAGACAACCGGCGAAGATCATCCAAAAGGAGCACTAGCTTCCCTCGCCGGAGCACCACCGCCGCCGCCGCCATCGATAACCCTTACGCCGATCGCGGCCTCGACAAATTCTACGCCCTCCTCGCCGATCTCGACACAAAGAAGCAAAAGATCTACACGGAAATGGGGTCCGAGGAAATCTCCTTCGTCCGATTCGTCTACACTCACGACTCCGATCAAGTCAAGCCCATCATAGTCAAGGCCAAGGCCAAAAAGGAAAACAATGATACCATGATCAACCGTAAGATTAAAACCTCGAAAACCATTGATGAAGAAGATCACACAATCAAAGAAGAAGAAGAGAAAACATCGGTAGTAATGATCGATGAGAATAAGAAGGGAAAGGAGAGTAATGGTAATAAGTATTGCCCCATAATTGGCGTCGAAGAACTTTTGAGAAGTCCTAATAAGCATCACCCTCACTATGTCTTGGCGGCGACGGTAGTGTTGATCATGGTGTTCTTGGTGTTTTTCGGGAGGTCATTTTCGGTATTTTGTGTTTCGGTCGGGTGGTATTTGGTTCCGACTACGATTGGGGCGAATTCGACGTCGTCGAAGAAGGAAAGAAAGGCAGAAAGGAAGAAGATTAATGTACATAGTTTGCAACAAAAGGGGGGTTTGTCTTCTCCAAAGAGTGTTATTTTGGATGGATATCATTCAAGGTAGATCTTTTTTTTTTTTTTTGGTAATTGTAAGTAATATTGTTCATTGTGAATTTTTGATCCATCATGTTTTGGATTGTGCAGATAATTGTGTTTTTTTTTTTTTTTTTTTTTGGGTTTAGGATTTTTGTTTTGTTTTGTTTTT